CTTGTTTCGTCGAGTTGGGCATGAATGTAAGGTTGAGAGTTCCAGATAGTTTCTTGATTTCCTGGGCTTGTCGTGGTTTTAGATTCAAAATGCAAACAAAATCGTAACGGCATACTATATATATATATATATATTTATATATAGATAATTATATATAACAAAAGAGAGTGCGGTTAGTTGGCAGCTCCATTCCTGCGTAATTGACGATGGCCTGCTGAGTAGTCGTTGAATGAGAAGCAAGTGTGTACTATCGGAGATGGGAAATAATTTGCAGCGTTCTTTATGCATTAGGGCTATGATTCCTACAATTTACTCACCGGGTTTTCCTGGTCAACAATTGTGTGTCGGAGTGGAGTCTTTTTGGTTCGTCTGTTAACGTAAGCAGATGGGCGCGACTTTAGTCTCGGGTGAGGAATAGGGTCTGTAGCGAGGTAAATAGGAGGACCTAAAACCGGGAGCGCGAGGCGCTAGCAGTATGGGTAATTGCTGCAAACTGGAGTACATATTTTGGTAACGTAGATCGGAGTGCTATTGGGGTGTCCGTTGCTCATGCATTTGGTTGGTGGGCGAGGTTGGGTGGGGGTATCTATAGCGACTCAGGCCAAGGGGTCGCAGGGCGCGGGAGGGACGTAGGTCTCATGATATCTGATGGTGGGGATGTTGGCTAGAGGCTATATATTTATTTTGGAAATGAAGATGTGGTAGGTGTGTAGTGTGTCGAAGTATGTTGGGTGATTCGCTTTTTCCGCGGTGGATTCGCCTGCTATGAGCGATCTGGGCCTTGGCGAACACACGGACTATTGGGAAGATTGAGTTTATCCGGCGGCTCGGTTGAGTTAACGAATCCACGAGATTTTAGGGGATTGCAGCACGGATATAGTATAGTTGTGGAGAATTGGGAGCGAATGTTCGATGTTGAGAGTTGCGTGGTGTGCTAGTACTAGTGGATTGCAAGTTATGGAGTATTAAGGTGTAACGAATGAAGTATATGCCTGTAAACAAACTGGGCGGCTTTACGGGTGGCGGGGGAGAGATGTATAATCGGCGGGCGTTTAGGGTGTACTTTCATATGCTACTATATGGTAGTGTATAGGCGGCGGATTTAGGCGATTTGCGCCAGGTTTCATCAACCGGTCACAGGCTGGTTTCTGTTTCAGAAGTTGACGCTCAAAATTAGCCGAGAATGCGACAATATAGCCTAATTTTTTTTAATCCCGGAGGGGGAATGCCCAGGACCCTCCTAGCTGTGGACTGAGAAGACTATGGAAACTGTGTCACCCAAACAATTGGCATCGCCCTGGTACTTGTGTGTGTGTAGCGTGGCGCATGCTTATTAGTCTTTCTTATGTTCTTTCTAAGGGCGTGATGAGCATACGGTAAAGTAAGTAGTGGCTGAATTTGTGTTGTGCCAGAGGTCATCGTGGTGCTTTATGCGGACTGTGGGGGGCAGCACAGCCGATGCGCAGTTGAGCTGGGAAGGAGCCTTTGATGCGTGGTGCTGAGTACAGCGGTCTGCAGCTAGTAGTAGGCCTTAGTCGAGTGAGCAGGTGTCGGTTACGGTGTTTACCGATGTCTATCGGTTGGTCTGTATGATCATTACGACGCGTAAGTCGCGGAGTGGGATTAATTCAGGGCTGTGGCTGCAGAGAAGAGTGAGTGACCAGGGTGCTAGTCGTTACCGGTGTCAAGGCTGGGATGGATGAAATCCGGTTGTCCATTTGACATTGCGGCAGGGCTACGTCACTACATGATATTAGGCGTGGGCTGGCGGTAGGTATAGAGTTGAGAGTTAGGGATTTTTGGCAGTCTTCTGGATATAGGAAGGCAAGTATACGGAGGAGTATACGGAAGTTGCCACAATTTGCAATGCGCATGCGGTTTACGCGGAACGGATTACGTGGATATATGAGTTAGCGGTTGCATGTGGTAAGATAGGTCTAAATAATTGTTAATCGACTGGTCGTAAGAATAGCAAGTACGGCCGTATAATTTACGCCCCGGTGATTTAAATTTGCACTGCAGCAAGAACAGTCCGCACCTGCAGTATCAGCAACACGCATATATGGAGATTATATAGCAGACATAGTATATAATATTATAAGATATAGGGCAAGAGGAGGTAAGATAAGGATTATATAATAGAATATATATTAGTAGTAGTATATATATGGAGTAGGTATACGAGTTGGGGAGGTATATGATCAATAGATGCGGATGTCGTGCTGTAGCTGCCAGTGCGACTTGTCTTGCTGCCATGATTTAGGTGCAGCAGGTGTAATGTTGTACGGTGATCGTGTATCTAGTGAATGCTGTCGAGTAGAATGCTAGTGGTTGAAGCGAGCTGTATTTACTTAGGACGTATTTGCTGTTATTGGTGATAATCCGAAAAAGCAATTCGATGAAAGGTGGGGATTAAGTGAAACGGATATTAGGACACGGGACTGCCGCGGGCATAAGATTAGAAGGAGTTCTGTAGGTGCGGCAGAGGAAAACTAAGTATAGGTCAATGGACGGGGAGGGGACGAACGGCGATCGGATGAAAGGATGGTTGGAAATTGAGTGATAAATGTAAATTAATTAAATAGATAAATCGAACAGCGACAGTAGAATATTTGTTAACAGTATATCTAAACAATAAACCTACATGCCTACGTTACTATAGTTATGTTCTGTGGTTACATTAACATTCGCACACAAGCCGTACTGTTTGACGCTAGAAGAGAAGAAACTGTAGGTGGGAATGTAGCCGTGGACATACTGCGGTCTTGAGCAGTATCGAGCCTGGTACATGAGTATCAACCCGATGGTTGAGGTACGGCCTTGCAGCATGGAGACAGATCATCGGGTGCAGCTCGCAAGATGCTGCATTGACTAACCTGGAGAAGAGGGGGGGTCTCAGGAGGGTGCGTGGAATGCTGTTGCATGGGATACGACGCGGGGTGGTTTTTGGATTTGCGCTGACAGTCAATCAACGGCTGGTTCTAAAGTGTGTAAGTGTACTCGGCAGTGGCATCTCTGTCCGGGATTACAGGAAAGCGCAAATAATTGCGACTATCTTTGCAGGAGACACGCACACGTTGTTCCCTGCTGGGGAGGGATCGAATGCCCAGTGACAAAGAATTTCGTGCAGAGGAACTGGTCGACGGTCGTGTTAGAAAGAATGCACTACGGTTTGTATCTTTAATCGGACGGAGGCTTAGGTCAGAAACTTCGAGCACGCGAAGTCCTTAATGGAGCACGCCAAAGGTTAAATATGTTTCGCAGGTGACATTGGAGTAGCGCTATCGTGATTAAATTGATGATGATACGATTATTGATTGAAGAGGCGAGGATTGCACCGGGTCGGGTACGGGCGTGGAAGACGGAGTACATTGATGGAGGTATGTAGTAGTAGGATAGTAATAGAGGATGATGATATAGATGATGGTTAAGTATAATATAGTAGTCAGAAGTATAACAGTGAATCATTAATGGGATTCTGAGTGAACATGCGTGAAAATTGGTAATCGTAGCTTGATTATCTACTCGAGATAATTATTGAGTATCTATAGCAATATCATCACACGTTATTACGTGTTATATCACACGTGACTAAGAATGCGGATTATTACAGGTAGCAGCGAAGTGTGGTAGGTTCTTATATAGAAGAGGTCCTAGATAATTGGTAAGTTCACTGAATGTCTACAGCTAAGTTCAAAAGCTTTTATTCACTTTGGCAAGTGCATTTATTTTTGATAGGCAGTTTTTTTGCCCGGCTGCGCAAATGGGAATGGTAGGAAGGAACATCCGGCTTAAAGGAGCAGTGCAGCGGAAAAAGCGAGATATAAACACATGGTATACGGATCTTGAATGCGATTAGCGCATTACATAGTGATGAGGAATTATGTCTCACTGATCGCGTCGACACGTGAGATGTGTGAAATAACGGGTATAGGATGTGTAAAGATATACAATGTTGGGTTCTTCAGCCCTATAACTTTTTTGTTACTCAATTTGTGTTGGATATTTCGGGTATAATGTATTGGCGCACGAGGGCGCTGCATCAATGCATCACTAAATCAATCTAATTGGTGGCGAGCGGTATGAGATATATAGAGGTGGCGCATGTGCACTTGTTTCGTGCAAGCGAGTCAGGCAGGAATTAGTGGTTACGCAGTGAGAGCTAAAATTATTATTAGTTATTATCATTAAGAGTTATTATTGTTATAATTGGTACGTCGGACATCACATATAATTAAAGCTAGCACATATTATGTTGGGCAGTTGGCTCAATGCTCGTCGGATGTTCGCAAGAAGGAGAGACGGGTTCCAAAAGGCGGCATTGGAGAATTCTAGAGCCATTAAAATTGACGACGAGGCATAGAAAAGAAAAGCTAAACTGCAAGTTAATCGAAATTAGAAAAGGTTCGTCTAAAACTCGGACACGGGCGTTCTCAGAAGGCGTCAGTTAGCCGAGTCTTTTCCGGCCCTGGGTACTTTTGTCGACACTTAAAAGTCTCAACAATTGAGTCTTACCTTAAGCTTGAACTGGGAAACGTTGCCCAATTGCCTACAGGTTAGCGCACGCGGAAATTTCGCGCGGGTCTTAAACAATACGGGGCATGGTGGCCTTAAAAACAGGTGTTGGGGGGTAGGGTGTGGCCAGTAGAAAGATGCTGATGGTTCACGTCTGGGGCACCTCAGATCCTAAACGTGAACTGTGTGGGAGGGGTTTGCTCTGTAAATTCGCCCCGGATTGGGCTGGGTTTTATAAACATTAAACTGAGTATAAGTATATCTTCTATATAATATAAATATAGTATGAAACAAAATAAATAAAAACAAATAATGAAAAAAAATAATAATAAAAAGAATAGTATATGTACGATATACGATAAATGTGTGGGTGCGCGTCGGCGTGCGTGCGCGCGTGCGCGTACGTTTATGTGCGCGTGTGTTTTAGAAATAGTAAGAGAGGTTTTTACAACGCTGGTGTTCAAAATATTGTGCTTGTGCTTCAGAACGCGCCAACTGGTGGTTGTGCTGCGAGCACGTGACCCCGGCTGACATCATTCTCTGCATCTTGCTGGAGAGACTCACGTTTGTCGGACTGATGGAGCGGTACTGGGGTTCTGGGAAGAGACCAGCTATAGCAGCCTACCGCGCTCGCTCTCAAGCACACCCGCCTTTCATGGCGCTCCCGCGAAATTAGTGCTAATGAGCAGTATATGTGGTGCACGAAAACTTGGAAAGTCGGAACTAAAATTTCTTCTGACTTTAATGCCGTCAGGTTGAGTGCGCGCATGATAAGCTCTAGTGATTACTCCAAATGCATACGCACGCACGCACGCACACACACATCGCGCATGGCGTATAGCAACACTAAGATCAGGAGTGAATAATAGAGATCTCTATTAATAGAGATTAATTAGAGATAATTAGAGATTAATTAGAGATAATTAATAGAGATCTCTATTATTCCTGCTACTCGATGCTTGCTATTGATCTCTAAGATGTAATACTGTAGTTATATTTTGGCAATCTTTTCGGTTTATTGCTATTAACTAATCGCTGTGGTGGTGGACAGTCTGGTCCGCCGTACAAGGTTCTACCTGATTGACTCTGTTACATTACTGAATAAACTTTATTCAAATCTCATGAGACGAATTAGTGTTTCCAGACCGCATATTTTTTTAATACTGCAACGAAAATGAATTCGTCACGCGTATACGGTACATGGAATCCTGTGTATTGATGTTTAGCGTTAAATGATCGAATCTGCCTAGACCCGTGATTGTCATGATCAATTATTACTGCTTGTACATCTTTTGGTATAAACATTAAATAAAATTGCAGCAAAAGAATTTGCACTCACTTACTGGTACGTGATTTTGGAGCTATGCAATTTCGTGTCGGATGCACGCGATTATTATTTGATTAGGGCGTGCTATAATATTTATATTTAATCTTTCCGATAATGTAGACGAAAAGCTTACCATGACTCTTCAGGGGCGGATTCAGAAGGGGGGTCGAGGGGGTTCGGACCCCCCCTTTTTACCACAA